GCTGGTAGCGTTTGTCCGACTCCACACCGCAGTAGTGTTTGAGCAGATGGTCCAGGGAATGTCTGCCCAGGTTCAGGGCTCGACTGGCCTGATGCGTATCAAAGAGGTTGACGACATACAGGCCCAAGTCCTTCTGGAGCCACTCAATGTCCGAGTCGGCGCCGTGAAAGATCTGAAAACAGGAGAGAGAGCGCACACATACTCAGCGGAAACTTCTCTGGAGACGTACCAACTTATTGAGAAAGAACCAAAAGCTGTGGGGGTGGGAAGACGCCAATGGGACATTTTTCCGTTTGGATTATTTTCAAGGATCTCTCTGCGATTCAAGCCCACGCAACACACTTTTCACAGGTATCCTACAGCGTGTGTCACAGTGGCTCCCAAACACACACACGCACGCCACATGACACCAACCACCAACCTCATCAAACTTTGGGCTTCACGAACAAAATATTCCAACACTGACAGAGTTTCTTCCCCAGGTAGAAGATTCGACAGTTCATACGGTGAGCTGGGGCATTATTCATTTCATCTGCTTGGTGAGAAACATTCCCTCCAGGCCATTTTAAGGCTAGTAACAACCAGAAATATGTCTCACATCTCCACTACATTGTGAAACTAGGGTGTGCAAAGGCTCTGGCGCGGAGAATACAGTTCAACACAATATTGTCTGAACACAGAAATGATCCTCTGTTGGGAACGTTTGACCGTAGTCAATATTAGTCAGGCGACAGGAAGCCGGTGCTCTCACACAGCGGCACGGTGGGTTCTGGGGCCTCTGATAATCAAGATGTTTGTGCGTGAATGTTTATAATCTTGTGGTGCCAAAGATAATTGTCTAAATCAAGGTCAAAGTCAAGGTTGCTTTCCATCACTTCCCCTCCGTTAGTTTATGATTATCTTCCAACTATATATTCCCGCTCCGAAGAGGTAGTCATCCATGGCTGTGTTAATTCTTTCTCCTGCTTGCAAGTATTATTTAATAAATGTCCTGTTAAAGGATTCTACAGTGGTGTTGTACAGTTCCAACATCCTTATACATCCACATAGTCCAGAGTAACAGATATTCAACGGCCAAACTCTTTCTCTTGCTTTCGCCATACTTCACTTTGTTGTTGTGGAATATTGACATATAAAATTCCATTAAAAAACAAAAACAAATGCACAGCGGTTTCCCATTGTGGAAACCTAATAGAGTTGTAATATCGTTCTTCCTTTCCCATTCTGGTGATAGACCGGGACACTGGAATAAATTCCATTACCTTGACAATTGCCGGGTCAGTAAATGCCTCGTTGAAGATGTACAGCTCGCTGCGGAGCTCCAGGGTGTCGATGATGAAGTCCTCCTCTCTGGTGGAGATCTGCATCAGGGAGGTGAGGCCGAGGAAGCTCCTGTAGGAGTGGTGCTGCAACGGAGTAAATAAACGGAATAAAACGCCTACATAAAAGAACCTCCATGCTTTTTGTAATCTATTAACCGCATAATTTAATCCAAGCCACCTTTTCTAATCTCTTACCTCAAGGTCCACTGCAAATTCTGACTCTTTGCAGAGCTTCTCATTCAGAGCCACCAGATCCTCCAGTGTTTCCACAAAGGAGCACTTGGTCTCAGCTATCGGCTTGTACATCTAAAAGAGTCCACGAGCGACGGATTTAGTAGATGATGAAACAGCATTGAGAGGATCACGTGGTTCAAAGGGTAAAAGTAGCACCATTACTAACCTGCGGTTCTGGCTTGGACAGAAGATGTTCTGCTACAGTAAAATGATCCAGTTCGTATTGGTAGGGGTGTGCAAACCTACGTGGATCAGTCACGAGTTAAGACGGACACAAAATAGAGAAAACGGCCAAATGTTATTGTGACAGAAGAGACTAGTCTCACATGTCTTCAACGTGTTCCTGGGTTCTCTGCTGGTGAATGAAGTCAGCCAGCGCAGCGGGGACATCGAGGTCCTCCGGTCTCTCTTTACGGATTTGTTTGTCCGTGAAGTCTTAAGATTGGAGAGCAGGTGAACAGATATTTTACAAATGGGACATGAGCTCATGGAAACCGTGGACGTGAGGAAGAGCCTTCGACTTACAAGAAGGAAGAGGTTTTATCGCATTGGGCTTGATGAAGATTTTGGGAATAAATGGTGTGTTGCTGTTGTCGACTTTCTCCTTGAATTTCAGCTGAGGCCTCGTGACGTTCTTGGCATGGAGCAGTCGGAACGTCTCAGAGCGACTTCCGGCTCTTGAACCCTGCTCAATAAAAGCACACAAATGGTGCGTTCAGCCGGAGTGAATATTCATCTTCGGGGCTTTAACGCCAGGACCGAGTAGTGCGGCTTAAACCGCGATACAGAATCTGCAGCATAAGAGCTAAGAGGTTAATTTTCAAACCTTGCGATTCCAGCTGGAAACTACAATCTTGGGAGCCTGGAAACCCGCAGGCAGGACGGGCTGCTGGGTCCTGTTGACCCCGTCGGCTTCATCAAGAAGAATCCCCTGGAAACCAGAAACGGGAGCGCGGTTGTTTTAAAAAGAGACCCGTTCGATGTGCACGTTTGTGAAAGACCGAAGCCGCGTGGCCATACCACTCTTTCGAGGATGACGTCGTTCGAGTCCACGACCAAGTCAAGCCTCTCCTCCAGGTCCGTCAGCTTGTTGCGGTCTTTCAGGTCGGATCTGCAGCCGTGGTGCTGCATTATCTGACTCATGCTGAAACAGGGACACAGTTGAGAGAACTTGAATGGGTTTGCACGTGTAAAAGGCTCAGTCGGGCTTATTGTCAGTGCGGACAAAGTGTCTCCCAGCTGGTACGGCAAAAAGGATTTGATGTCATTGGTTTGACAAAGGTGATCAATAAGTGACAGCCCTAGACAGTGCGCAGTCACGTAAGTGTGCAGCAATCCAGGGCCATTTAACAGCAATAGATCACAACTACCAACTTCAGAGACGGGTAAAAACTTCTGTACTCACCAACGCAGGAGCTTGTCCCCTTGACTTTCACAGAACTCCCGGAATCCCGGGAAGCTGCAGTAGAAGTCGTAGTCGTCTCCAGCCTGAGGCAAGCTGGCAGATGCTTTGGTGGCAGATAACACGGCGCCCAGTCCATACTGCAGGGGAGAGACGGGAGGTTAGACAGCAGTCACGTGACAGGACAAGGAAACACGCCATGTCCGTTTTAACGGCTCATTTAAAGGGATTCGAGAAGTAACGTTAGCTTGTTCCTAAGCACTGAACCGTGGCAGATTTATTTGACATTAATAGTATTTTTTGAGATGGCAAAAGTTGTTATTTTACTAGAATGACAGAAAATAACTTATTATGGCCTTTTGCATTTGTTTGTCTTCGTTATTTTTAAATAAAAGCAACGTTAGCTAGCTAAAGTTAAGTGAAATAGAGCCCTGCAATCAGATCAGTCCGCAGCGTCTTTCAACTTTCACTTTTGGACAAGACATATCTAAACGAGACTCCGCTTTTACTATAAACCCAATAAACCACAAATCCCATCTTTCATCAACAAATAGCGGTGCACGTCCTCCACCACCGTAGATAATATCACGTATGTGACGTCAGCCTCCAGCCAGCACGCACACGCACGTTGCCCCCCTGAAAGCTGCGGTTGGGGTTTTAATTCACTTACTTTGACGAAAGCATCCGCGTCTCTAAAGCCGGGAAACAGCTCTTCTTTCTCCTCCTCGCCGTCGGGATTAGAGTTCGAGTCCTTCGGGCCACTGTCGGTGGCCTCATCAGCCTTAGGAGAGTCCATCGTGTTTGCTCGCGCTGTGTACATGCGTGCCGCAGGAAGCAGCTCCGGCCCTTATTGGTTTTAATAAAGGAGAAAGAGGCGTCGCCCCCTGGCGGCGCGGAGGGGACGGGCCGCTAGGGGGCGACGCACTATTTGTTCTGCAATTCGGTGCGAAAAAACAACAACAGACAAAAACGTCTGCGTGTGTAGCTGAAACCATGTGTGATGTTCACGACGTTAATTTTAACACGTGTGCAATATTTTAGGTTGCCTTTGTTTCGATGTTGTGTTAATTAGTACCACTCAGATTGAGATCCATCTTGTCCTGTCTCGACCTGCATGGCCAGCCTGTAGTCCTCCATGCTCTGGTACTCTTCTTCAGTCCAGTGTCAGTGCGTTGCCTCCTTTATATTACCGTATTCCATCCCAGTGCTGCACCAGGATGCTCGCACCACGAGGGGGCAGTGTTGACATTTGCGCTGCATTTGTGTGCTTCAGTACACTAATCATGCCTGAGCCAATATCTCAACGGGAGCTGTCTAACTCATATCAGAATATCTGCACTTTGCAGTTCAACCATGAATAGCATCTCCTCCGCGTCTTTACCCTGGTGTTGTTATTCAGCGGTCAATAGCATGTGAAGAGCCATTGCCTTGGTATTGACACCGCAGCTCATTATGGATGGTTTGTGGTGTGTGGGGAAAACCTCGCTTTTCTTCGCTTCCTCTTCCTATTGATCTTTTTGCAGGGTCCTCTCTTTCATATTATCTTAAAAGCATACGTGCTACAGGCTTAATCAATATTTCAGAGTAGCCTCCACGTCGCTCCCTTCTTTTAGAGGAAGGAGTCTTAACTTGAGCAGAGAAATCGTTTAAAGAAAAAGAGAAAAAATGAAGCAGAGTTCTTTGCAGAAGCTACTTAACGAATCCAGCTTCTTTCACATAGTGTTCTTTTTTTAATAGATGGATTCAAAACCTTGATTTCCTTTATTTAAGCCTTAATTCTCTGTAATGCTATTTCTTGCTATACATTAAACAATACGTATATGCGGCACAAACCTTTTCAAATGTGTTCTTTATCCACTGTCTAAGGCATTGCTGCAGCCATTCACTCTCATTTAAATGCCTTTTCATAATATTATGCATTTTATAGCTTTGATGGTGCCTCAAGGCGCCACTCAAATTCGTCCTGCAGTTAAAGACACTAAAACTGCTGATGCTGAAAATGACACCGTGCCACACATAATTCAAAGAAATCCAAGCGAAGATCCTCAGTGGATTGTTTTTATTAACTCCCTTCGTTTAGAAAACACAAATGCACCAAACAATATCGTACATGCACAGCTTCAGCATATCGAGATCAGCTGATGTCTTTTCAATGTGAAAACGTTACGGCCACGATCTCACGGAGATCACCCAGACATCAAAATACTGAGGAGTCGCGACAGACAGGCCAAGCGTCACCCAGAGCTCTAATTGTGTTTCTTCATCCGTCTTTATGGAAGTACGTGGGTTTTTTTTTGGAGGGGGGTAACTAATTTGTTTCCTTTTGTGATACTGGGAGTAGCAAGAATATTGCAAAGTTGTGTTGGTATAACAAGCACAAGCAGATTGTTATACTGATGTCTCCCACTGTGCACTGGTATACTACCTTGTAACAGGTAGTGGTTGTGTCATTGCAACAAAAGGCTGTGTGTGATAGCAACTTGCTCTGCTGGTGGATTGTTCAGATTCTGGGTTTAACAGAGAATTTGCAATTGGAAGTAGGACACCACAGTTTGGTCTCCCGGTTGGGAGCATTGTTTCTAATCAATACAACAAAGCACATACAGTACAGTTCACTGTCTGAAGTCAAGAGAGATCTCTTTGCACTGGCTCGGATTCGTTATTTTAAAGCAACACTTGACCTTTGTGCAGAATGTTTTGTTGAAACAAAATACATTTAAAAATGAAGAACCATTCAAATAAGAGAAATAAAAGTCAAACTGAAACCTCTCCACGGTACCGATACGCCACAAAAACAAAGAGGTTGCCGATGCTTCCATGTACCCCAGACACAAGTTCAAAAACGGAGTACTGTTGACCTTTTTTCAGTTCATGTCATCAATAATTCAGCCAGAAAGATGCATTTCCTGTGCAAACATGTGTTGAGCTTAACAATAACATTCTGTGATGAATGGACGAACACGGATAAACCCCCACATAAGACCACCAAAACAACCAACACTGAACTGAATGAAGCCTTTTGTCTTGTGACACATGTAACACAAACTTGTACCAGACATGTCCTTGGATTCTGCAACGTTGCTTCTAACTTGTTTCTTTGCACCTGCCGTCCACGATAATTTGACAGAGACACAGGCATTTCCGCTCCTCCCCTGGGTGAAACTCTTCCTCCATACTGACCTTGTGTTCTGCGATTTGAATGTCCACCATTCTTCAGCTGCCCGAAGCGCTGAACCACGGTCAAATACATTAAATTAGTTTAAACTATTTTCTTCCCCTAAACAGAAAAATGGTCATCTGGAAAAGACACCGTAGGGTAATTTAATAATCCTGGACACACACACACAACTTGAATCTTCCGGGTGTCATCTTGATGGGATTGTCCTGATTTAGTTCTCCCTAAATCTTGATACATTAGTCTTGTGTGGGTGTCATTAGTACCATTACTCCTATGCCCTTTTCCCACAGAAGACCTTCAGGCCTGCTCTAATTCATTAAAATGTTTTAATGTCTGCTAAATCACGGCAAATATCAGGCTCTCCATTCTTCAAGTCAGACCATTAAATAGCCCCTCGTGTAGTGTGCTGACAGATTAGTGGTATATCTGCTCCTGCCACTCAGGGGCTATCAAAACGTAAGGGGAAGCAGGTCTGAATACCTGAGCAGCGGGGTTTGGCCGTAATATATAACTGAACAATGACAACACATACCACATTGAAAAAGCCAATACGACTGACAAGAAAGGACAGATTCACGAAGTATGACCATACATGGTGCCAAATGATGTCTAAGCTGGTGACTAGATTTCAATTATCAGACTGGCACAATTGGCAGAACTTTAAACCCCCTTCGCCTCGACGGCAATGGCTGATTATGCACGTTATGCACTGGCATGACGACTTGTGTGTCGTCCAGATGGATGAAGGATAGGGCTCCTAAAAAAAACGATTATTTATCATTTTAGTCAGTCTACAAAATGTGAGAAAATGAACAAAAATGCACATCACAATGAATATTCTGAATTCCTGATAAGCTGTCAGATGTCCATTTAAGTCTGGAAACAGGACTGTATGACCCTTCAGACATGGGTGTTTGTTTGCTGGTATGAATGAATGCACCGGTATTCAATTAATTTGACAAAATAATACTACTTGAGTTCAATTTAACATTCTCAAATCCCTCTAACCAGATCTCAGTTTTCATCAGCACTTAGCGTTTACTCAGTTGTGTGCTGAGATTATTTTGCGAACCTATAGTTCCAGGGTTCAAGAGTGCTCAGGTATGATTGACGTTTGATTCTATTGATTCAGGATGTGAGTGCAATCAGTGAAAGTATTCTTTAAAGTACTGGTTAAAGGATATGCGTTATGCCATAAGGCAAAAGTGTCAGAAATCCAGCTGTTATAGACAGGGGTAAAATGCAATAACTGTTGCAATATGGGGATGTTTTCGTTAAAAAACACAGAAATCCGTTATACAAGTAACTGAATTTACATTTTGATGACATACAACAGTTTGTTGGCATGTGGCCCTGGTATAAAGTGGCATAACACCCAGCGAGTTGGATACGCCGGAGCCAAATGGATTGCAATCAAACACACAGTCATTGGTTTGTTGGGCATTTTGTTCCTTGACAAATGACCAAAATGACTTGTTGTTGATTATTTTCCGTTGAATGATTGATTGTTTCAGCATTAGTGTTGCAGGAAATACACTGGCATTTGAATACCTATCCCAATACTGCTGTATACAGTCAGATGTAATGTTTGCCGATCCCATCCATCAATCAGCGGGGGGGGGGGGCAGCGAGCTGCTCTGAGCCATTGAAAACCTCTCGGTACGCGCGCGGCTCTCCACAAACCAACGGCCAACACTGGCCCTGTGAGCTGTTTTAATGAGTTGCATCTAGGACAACTTGAATGGAGCGGGTTAATAAGAAGAAGACGGCGGCAGAACATTCTGGAGCGCAGACTGACCGGTGTGTCGACGAGTGGCGGCGTTACAAGAATCTCCAAAGGCACGGGGCAAATAAACATGCTCCTTCTCACCAATGCAGACGTGGAGAGCAAAAGTGAAGATATTCAAAAATACAAAATACACCTTCCCATCACGGCCCTCCGCAAAGTTAGTGAGACCTTCGACGAAAAGAAACTGTGAGGAATAAGATGTCGAGGGAACCAGCTGTCTCTAGCAACAACAAGAAGGCTGATGGATGGAAGTAAGGCATCTGTATCAATCTAGAGTCAAACACAAAAACAGAATGAAATGGAGCATTGTTGCGACCTGCAAAAATGTCAGACCTGTGTAAAGAAAAAGCTCAAGCGTTTACTGTTAATCAAGTGCCTGACCTCGCGCTTCGCTCTTGTGCCACCTCACACACCGCAATCTAACACTGCAAAATAGTATGAAGCCCCCCCCTCCCAAAAAAAAAAAATATAGAGGAAAAAAAACAACAACTCAGCAACGTTCACAAATTTGAGAGAAAAAACGAAACAATAAGAAGGCTGAAAAACGGAGCAGAGTTCGTCGCGGTGTCACGACGTTGACCTGAACGTTGACATTACGAGGGAAAAGAGCAGGGAGAAGGAGGAGATGTGCGCGCTGTGGGCTCTGGACCCGCGGGCGCTCATACCTGCAACACAGAAAAACAAAAGAACACTGATGAGAAACCTGCTGGAGGAAGCGAATGGTATTTCCTATTCGAGGTTTGAACTCTGGGCCATGTAGCAGCCACAGCTGAAAACAGACATGCATTCAATTTGGTCATTTGATACTTGCTACTCAAATGGCCAAATCGTAAATCATACATACTGATGTTTCACTGGGGAAGTTAAAATGTGGTAAAACGCTTCCATGTCCTGGCTTTAAAGACGTAGTTTGCTCTAATCACTACTTTCCCGTGTATAACTTAAGTGATTCAATTAGCTCCCATGTTTCACGGAATATTTGCCCGCAATGACATCTATATCAAAACCTTTCCTGGATAAAATATATTATTCATGCAAAAGAAATCTCCCGAACCACTTCTAATGTTCCAGAGCTACTGGATTTTATAAGCATAGCACTCGGTTTTTGCTCGCTAATGCATTTTGCCCACACCTTCTTCTTTGCAGTACACAAAGAGTCTCTGGGTAAAAAAAGTAAGCCTATTTTTCAAATTAAATTTAAAAGAAAAGCCAGTGGGAATTCAACCTCTCTCAACTGCTATTTTCAGAGATTCAACACAGAATATCAACAATGCAAATTAGCATTTAGAGCTGAAGAGAAGCCCCCCCTGGAGTCCCGCAGGACAGTAATAGCATCTAGTAAATGAGGAAGTCAACCTTTGAGAGGGAGATGGATTGTGCTGCATATTTTGGCAAAATATGAGCCTGGACGAGCCCAGCGAGGGAGGCCGGGGACACGAGTAATGGGGAGTCAACAGAGAACAAACTGTCCATGTCGGGTTCAAAAAGTGATAAGTGAATTAATTTACAGCGGGTAAAAAAAAAAAAAATATATATATATATATTTATACACTGTTGTAAGTTTTGAGCGACTGAGGTCCCGGTCAAGCCGTACGTCGAAAGTGACGCCGTGCTGCTGTGATTCTCACCACGACTGTGAACAACAAGCTTACTTAGCTGGTGGATCCGTATGGGGTCCGAGGCCGGGCCGAGCCCCCCTTCGCTCAGCGTCTGGATGTGGATGATGTAGTCGTCATCTTCCTCGCCGAGGGTCAGCTCGGCAGTGGAATTGGCTGTTGTGAGTTTGTTTACCTCTTTGTGCCTCTGTCTCCTGTATGACAGCTGAACAGGGAGAGGAGGGTGGGGGGGGGGGCACAAGTGAGGTCCATGCTTTCACTCATAACGGGAAAAAACATGTTACTTATGTGTGAGTAGAACTCACTTGGTAGCCTGTAACCTCCGATTCTGATTCCGTTGCCACCACAGGTTCCCAGTAGAGGGACAGCTCAGAGCCGATTAGGGTCCATTCGACGTTCAGCGGCGGTTGGGATGGCGCTGCGGGATTTAGAAATAGCTTTTGTTGTCTACGCGTCAGCGAAAAAACACACGACTGTCACTTTGTAGCACAATAGCATATTTCTCTCGCGACATCAGAGGACATGGTTTCCACCATCCCACCGTGTGAAGTCTTGGCTGCTGCAACTCACGTGGCTTTTTGCTGGTGACATTGATGGCGGGGAGGAAGGGGCCGGTGCCCGCGGTGTTGAAGGCGCTGACCGTTAGGAAATACTGCGTGTTCCCCGCCAGGCCGCTCACCGTGACTGAGGTTTGGTTCCAAGGCACCCTCACCTTCCCCATGGTCTCTGGTTTAGTGTCGTCCTCCCAGTACGCCACCTGTTGAAGACAGAGAGCGCCGTCCGGGATTTTAACTCGCTGCGTTGTTTCGGGTTGTGGAAAGAAGCCGCATCTGATGACTTGGGAGGAGGGTGGTGTTGTTAAAGGTTTGACTACATCCTCTTTGGAGTTTCCAGCAGGACATTTAATTTGACATTACAAAAGCCTTTGTGAATGGACTTTTGTAACACCTTGTTGAATGTCTCACTATGATCAGAGACGACTGAGAGAAAGTGACAAGAGCGAGCAAATTGTCTTTCTGTAGATTCTATAGAGTGAAGAAATGATTTAATACAAGGAAATACAAAAATAGATCCCATTAAAACTTACAATATTGATCGTATTTTGTCCAACCAGCACTTCATATCATATAATCAGTCAAGCTTCATTTACTCGAGATGTAGGGCTAGTTTGGCATGTTTTGCTTTATGACTGCAACAATTAATCAACTATTAATATTAACAGTTTGATTTCTTTGTCACTCCACTGATGGATCTATTGCGTAATTGTTGCCGTGCTACATTAATCAGTTTTCCGTAATACAGAATTGATTCATATATATATTTTTAATTATTTAATATTATTTTTTATTTTTTATTTTAATAGAAATCTGGGTAATCATGAAATAATTGAATCTGAATTTAAATAATACACATCAGATACCAACTAAAGTTACCTTCTAATAAATAAAGTGTTTTTTATAACCTCGAAATGGAAGATATATCCTCCATCTCCCGACTCGTCCTGCTTTTAGCCATCAATATTCATTCAATTCATATTAGTATGTTAGCTCACCGGAGTAGCTCAGATGTGAAATGAAAAAAAAGAAAAGAATAAAAACAACATCTTAAAATAAAGCCCTTTCATCACCCTGATGATTCAAGGATGCAGGTGAGGCAATCAGGCTGTCCCAGTTTTCGAAGATACAATTGAATGGAATTGTTTTGGGTTTAAAATGTAATTTATTATTCCTATTCTATTTAGTGAACAATGAAAAGACTCCACTCCCCGGGTGATGCTTTGTTAGACTCTGAAAAGCAAACAAAAGAAGGTAGCTTTTTGTATAATTATACAGCTTTTGGGTGTGAGGGCTTTTCTTACAGCGGGTATATTCTGTGACAAGGTCTGATATTTCAGCCCAGACTCAGATCTTAAGCTCTGTATCGCGATAGCCGTAACCCATAACTGATAGACACTTGAAAAGCAATGCGGATAGGACAATTCCTTTTGCTCTTTCCGTTCTTTTCTGTCAGGCTGTTACAAAGAACTGTGTCATTTTGGCTTCAACGGCCAATTGAAAAATCCATTTCCATGGCAACGCAGAGTTTGGAAGCGATGGCATAAAGGTAAAACAGAGGTGATGACAAGCAATGTAATTATGTTGTATGTGTGTGATTTATATTTCCATTTAAAAAAGGGGTAAAATGTACCTCATAGCCCAGAACCCTTTCCGGGGAGAAGGAGAGAGGCTGCCAATTCACCTCAATCTCAGAGGCTGAGACACTTCTGGCCCAAACTCCCGCTGGCATCCCGCTCGGCTCTGAAAACCGACAACAAGAGACTGAGCATCGCTGCCTTCTTCCAACAGAAACAAGCAGGACGAATCTCTCGAAACGATGACTGTGCCGCATTCCAGTTGATCTCTACTTAGATGATTCACAACACGCACACAGGTGACGCTGGTAAACGGCGCGGCGGCACACCAGCACGACTGACCCTCCTCTCAGAGGGTGCTCAGATCTAAATGCCAACCGGGGGTTCGGTTCAGAATAGGCATTGAAAAGAGCGGTAATATTTGAGGACTGTTTGCCTGGAAACGGGTAGGCCGCTTCCTCTCTCCTTTCTTACGTGTAGCAGGATTTGGTTTCCCACAAAGTCTCTTCATCTATTTGGAACTTTCAGCCCAGTCAATGCAAAGAAAAGCCATCGTCGTGCTCTTTGTCCTCTTCAAAAACCCAGCAAGCTTTTTAGCTTAACTCACCCGTCTCTGCAGAGTAGATGGTGACCACGGGGCTGAACGGGCCCTGTCCTTTGCTGTTGTAAGTGCCAACCTTGACGTGAAACGGAGAGAAGGGCGCGATGCTGTCGTTGCGGTACACGTAACGCGACGCACCGGGGGCGGAGGTGGCCACGTGAGTCCAGCTAACTTCTCCGAAGGCGCGGAAAGCAATGATGTAGCCGAAGCTCTCGCCATTCTGTAGTTCTTCGGGGACAGGCTGAGAGTGAAACACAAAACTATAGTGATATTAAAACATATACAAGCCACTCACGTTCGTACCGCCGCTGGGCCGACACTATCAGCGCCCACTCTCACCGTGCCAAAAGAACCGCGTGACCCGCAAATTGCTTTTGTGACCCACCTGACGAAAGGAAATGAGCATTAAAATGCCATTTGAAAAAAATCTAATCTCATTACAGAATGTCTGTGCAGCTTTCAGAACTCCAAGTTATTTCTGCACTTAATAAATGAGAAAACTCCAATAATGAGATAGCTTTAGCCAACAAATGACTTGCTTATTATCCACACTATTGTATTATTTTACTAGTAGTCTACTAGATTTGAGCATTGCAGATGTTGCTGAACAGTGATTCACCACAAGACCCGTTAATGACAATAATAGTCAGATTAAATGTTCTGCTTGTGTATACATTGTTTCTGCCTTACATGCAGACACTTTAACTATGATATTACAACCACCGCGGAGCGAGACTTCGATTGCTATCAAAATTTATGACACCCGCAAGCCGAAGAGAGCAGGAAATATTAAGCACCTCACTCAAGGATAGAAAAAGATTAATTGCAGGCACTTTGTGTAACAGACTAGAGCATAAGACTGATGGCTTACCTCCCATGTGATGACCAGTTCCGCTCTGCTCCCGCCTCCTCCACCCGTGTCACCCGGTGCTGCATCGGGAACTACACAACACAGACCTCCATGTGAGACATACTTGAGGTGGTATTTCGCTCCTCAGACCTTTTCTGATTTGATAAGGATTCAATTATTTGATGGTAAAGATAACGTAATTGTAGTTAGTGTACCTGCATCCTCCGTCCTGGTCTTGACCGACACGGGGCTTGGTTCTCCAACCCCGACACTGTTTTTGGCCAAAACCCTAAACTCATACTCCACCCAGGCGTTAAGGTCCACTACAGTGGCTGTCAGCGTGTTCCCATCGATTAATTCTGGGACTGAAATAAAAGGGAAACGATAAGCGTAGAAATAGCTGAATGTGTGAAACCAAACAAGAGTTCCACAAAATCTATATACAATTACAAAATCTATAAACAAATAGGTGACAAAGGTATTGTATTGGCCAACTCCTGAGAGAAATGCCTTACTCTTTATGTGCTGAATCCCCCGCTCTGCTAGTTTCTACATTCTCTGCTGATATAACCTGACGCTGAAAGTGAAGTAAAAACGTGCTTATTTAGCCGGGGTTGTAGTTCAGTCTGCAGAAGGTCAGTCAGGAAGACACTCCTTATAGTCTCTTTTCATTCAGAATCTCTCTGTTTGTCCGTCTTCCCTAAGCCAATGACATCGTTGCAGTCAGACTTGAGAAATGTTCCGCCCTCAGCTGCTGTCAGCTGTCACTGCAGCTAAAATCCTGTGTGATTCTGCTCCACCCCGAAACTCAATCACAGCCTTTCTCCTCATTCATCCTCGGACTGCAACGACTCTATTCACCGTCACCACCACTGCCTGGAAACCAGGGGGGGGGTTCTACCTTATCGGACCTCAGCATCACCACCCCTCCATCATCCTACCTCGGGACGGGGTCCAATCAGCAAAGACTTTGTACTGATCAAATTGGATGCAAATGTAATAAAATATTGTTAAATTGTTGGCTGTTTACTGAAGTCTATCAAACATTGTTAATGGTTTGGATATGAACGTTATAAGACATAAAGATATATGTGTTGTTTCATGCTGTTTCATGGGGGAGGGAGCTTTTCAACACTACGCAAAGGACAACGAATGAAAGCAAACCGTTTAAGTTACAGTATTTTGTTTCATCCCTTTCGTTTGGTAGACGCTTTTGCAACGTGTGCATTCAACCTCCATAGCAACCAGAGGTCAAGAAGGCATCCACACAGACTCGGCTTGAGCAGATAAAAGGATTTTGGTCCCCTGAGCCTTTGTCCAGCCTCGCCTCTGAGGGCGGAAGAGAAGTAGGGGAACGGCTCCGTCGGGGTCTCTGAATTATCTGAGCAGCGTGGGGTAACAGGAAAGCTCACATACAAGCGTTGCCCACCTGTATTAACCCTCTGCCAGCCCACGGTGAAGGGGGTCCTAGTCTGGATGAGGTAATGTGTGATCGGGCTGCCGTTGTCTCTGCCGGGACTCCAGGCCAGCTGGGCCGTGCTGTCCGTCACCTCCTCCACCGTCACGGATTCTGGAGGACTCGGGGGGCCTGGTTCAATCGCAGGAAGAGACACGGTGAGGCACTTGCACATGCAGAGGCACACACAGGGCTGCAGAATGCGGACGCAAACGTGTGCACTCACAGACACTATGAGGGAAACATAAACAGAAAATACATTTGCATAAAAAAACACAGTGGGGCTGCGATGTCTTTATATTGTGAAATCAACACAAACCAGAGATAACCGTTATTTTGAAGTTATGAGTAGTAGTTTATGACCTTCATATGGAATTAAAAGTTAATTTTGAGATTAATCCTCCAGTATGCAACAAGCCCGTGTTCCTTGCCTTTCGTGATCCTTGATCAATGAAACAGCAGATGTAAGTAGATGCAAAGAGTCAAATTAAAAGTTAAAAGATGAAAAAGGCCTCATAGCCCTGAAGCACCAGAGTTTTATCATTTATTTTCATTATCCCACCAATTAAGCGGCGTGATGTTTTACTTTGGCCTCATCTTGTGTTTTCTCTTCTAATGAACGTGTCGGCTCATCAGGAATAATAGACCACTAGAGAGCTTTGAGACCGACCGCAGAATAATAACGCCCCTAGCTCTGCTCACCCTCCTCACCGCTTCCGAAGTGCTTTCCGATCTGAGGCAAAATATTCAAATTATCAAAGCGTTAAATGATTATTTTAATAGAATCAATGGATTATGCCGCATGTACTTGCCAAATCTATAAATGCATGTATGCTAAACAAGTAACTGCTGAACCACATTTGATTTTTGTTCACAGAAGCGTTGAACATGCAACATACATTTGGCCTTACAGCCCCGGCTGTGGAGATATTGATCTTTGTAAAAACTCATTAGAAGCTCCTGATTAAAAAAAAAACCTTTAATACGGTGGCTTCAATGATACATATAAATGGGGCACACAATCAAGGATCAATTTCCTATCCTCTTAATTATATTTCTTTGGCTAAAGGCAAGAGGGTGCTGCCAGTGTCTTGAGGGTGTTCAAATAATCTGTTATTAATATGGGCAGACTGTCTCAGCTTTTGTTATGAACTTGGCACACGGCAAATAAACAATTGGTTTTATTGTGAATACTTACAGACACGGTGCATCAATTCAAACCTGGACTGAATAATAACCATATTGGTAATATACAACTTCAGAATCGCCAGATGTGAATCGGAATAATAGCACATGTTATGAAAGTGATGAAAGAAAACGTCGAAACGCGACTAAATGACACACATTACCGACTGTCTTCCAGGAAGACAATGATGATGCAACTGTCAAACAAGCACAAGTGCTCAACAAGTGGTCAGAATGCTAATGAATCTGTACAACATGACCTTCTCCTTAACCACCACCACCCGGCGGAGTGTTTGTGAGGCCTCGTTGAGTGGCATCTAAAGCATTTTCCACTGCCAACATGAAATACAAGCATCCAGATGATCACTCAAGAGTCGCCGTGTCAGGAGCGATTATCATTGACCTTCACTGATGCGAGACGAGTGGAGCGAGACAGGATCGCAGAGAGCACCGGGCAACTAAACTACTGAGCTGCTTCCACCGGCGGATATATGACATGATTGCAATAATTCATCTATTGCCAAGAAAAGCAATAGTCAGCATTTGGCATTCAATTCTATATATGTTACTCGCTTTAATTTAAAGTGCTATCACATTGACATTCTCATTACGAGCATCAAGTGAGTCCGTTATTATTAAACATTCAAATTGCATTTTTTTTTAGGCCACGGAGCGAGTAGTGTTTTCTCCAAATGTGGAAAGTTTTGGTTCAATGTGTCATGGTTTTGAGCTATCTGTCTCTGAGATGTCTGCCGCCAGCACAAAATAGATGAGGGATAATGGATTTTTTAAAATGTGGCCACCAGCTTTGAGAAAAAAAAAAGAAATCATCAGCAAACATCTTTGTTTCATTGCCCATATTGCTTTGCAGAATCCACACAAAACAGGACTATTTTCTGGAAGAAAGTAGTTGCAATTGGGTAATTCTAATCCACTACATGTAAAATGGAATTTGGGTGCTTTTCCCCTCGACTGCATTTATAGTTATTACTCCTTCCCGGAATAAGAGATGATGTAAGAAATATAAAGACAAATACATTTCTCATCTGTCCGTGAGGTTTATCAGTTCCTAAAGTACGAGCCCGATGTTCAGTAAAAAGCAAAAATGTAACGACAAATTAATAACAAAACATAATACAGTAAATATCTACTAGATATTTTTTTAATTCTTTTCCAGTCCTTCAATAATTTCATGAATTTTGTTTTCTGCATGAATCCTTTTACTTTTGATAAATACATACACATACATAAAATATCTTTACTTAGGTTAGACATTTTGTGCATGACTCTCACTTGTGACGGATTATTTATACGTTGTTATCTTTGTAAACTGAGTGAACAAAGCTTGTATCTTCTGCTCGTCCACACAGCGCAAGAACTTAATTGGCGTTGAACGTTATTTGAAAGCGTTATTTGCGTCGTGATCATATGGGTAGTGATGGTTTTTCCAGCGGGATACTTGACATACGACCACTGTCGGCTTGTTAGAAGTCAGCCGCTGTGATCAAGCAACTCCACCCGTCGCCCTCCGTGACTGGTTTTCTATCCAGCTTCACGCTTTGTCGCCCAACATTTGGAGAAGCTCGATCCAAACAATGAGACATCCATGACAGCTGCCGGGAGCAGGAAGTGTAAATAATGCACAATCTGAATCACAGACAAGTTTCTCAAGAAAACATACAAGGCCAATCCATTTCCTTTTTGATATTGCTTCTGCTTGAAAAACAGCCTTATTTCCATTTAGTCCTCAAAGAATTGCAAAAGAGTGCTTATTAATGGCATTTGCCTTGGAGATCGTTAACAAGCCAAGCTGAATCACTGGTGGGTATTCTTACAAGATAAAAATATGGATCCAACAATTTCAAATCCTGACACCAATATCATCCTTCACCTCATTTGACATTTAACGCATTTGCGTTATGTCAATTTGTTGGCCCACTTGACGTATTGATGAAGGCCAGATACCTGCCTTCCCTGCACACCACGTAAACGTGTCTCCACCAGAAACACAAAACAAAAGTTGTTCCATTTTGTTCTGCCCAATGTAGCTTTTGACACGGTGTCTCTGGGGAGGTATACATACTGCATGAGTGAGCTCAGACACGCATAAACATGCCCCTGTCTAGTACATTGCCACAATATTGAACAATTGGTTATTAGAAAGAGAGCAAATACACTGTTGTCAAGTTATCTTCCACAAACGTCCGCGAATGCATTATAGAAGAAAAGCAAGCCTCTTCTGTTTGATGTAATAAAGTGACTGTTAGTAGAAGGAAGCAGGACATAAAAACTGGAACGACATCCGCAACACAATCATTTTCACGAGTACATGGCCGTACTGCATTAACTGACAGGGACAAAACCCATTAGACTAGTCACTATTATATAACAGCATTCTTTATAGTGTTATTAAGGCATATTCATATAACATCCCCCCCCCAAATATATATATATATACACATATATATAAGGCCAAGCATCTCTGTTTATCATATATATATATATATATATATATATATATATATATATATATATATATATATATATGATAAACAGAGCTGTTGGTTAACCCTCACAGCGGACAGCCAATCAATGTTGTTATTGAGGGGTTGTTTGCCACTTCCACTTCATAGCTATTACATGTCTAGTGTCCTTGAGCAAGACACTGAACCCCAAGTTGCTCCCGAAGGACAAGCCAGCGCCTCGCATAGCAGCTCTGTCCCTCAAGTGAGGAAAGCGTTTTTTGTCCGTTAAGGTGGACAAGCGGAAAGTAAGTGCGCTCACATTACCATCTACTGTTTATAGTTGAGTGTAGATTTTATAATTTCCCCCTTTTGGTACGCTTTACCTGCCATTTGCTCTTTTTTTCTAAAGAGAGAAACCCTCAAACAATCCTGGCGGTTTGCCGTGTTTTAATTAGTGCCCGCGGAGCCGAGAGGAGGTTTTCTTACCTTTGACAATCAATACAGCCACGGCTGACAGGCTCTCCACGTCCGTGTCCACCACACAGATATATTTGCCGGCATGGTAAAGCTGAATGTTCCTGATCATCAGATCTCCTGCTGTTCTCTAACGAAAAGCAAATAAAGCTTTACGCAGCATGAAAGATAACAGACGTTTTGACAGCTTATTAAAGAAAGTATAGGGGGCTTATATAAGGAGCAGCAAATAGCGGGGCCAAAACAGCGATCGCGGATCCTGCAGATATTTAACGACTTAGCAGAAGAAAAAGGGAATTTTTAACAAAAAAGATACTTTTGCATTTCTCGTCAGTTCTTTAAGTCAAAGCCATAAAGGTAAAGCTAACGATAAAATCCTGATTTTGTCACATACTCACATTCTTGTGATAAGCTTGAATGAAAAGGACCAAGGCCAAAATGTGATACAGAAAATGTTTGACGAGGCCATTGCCATTTATCTTGAATTTTACAAAGGTCGTCATCATGCCCTTCAATAGCTGTTGTGAGAAACTACACAAATAAGCCATTACTGTTTAGTTCAACTGGGTTTTGCTCGACTGCAGAGGAAAAAAAAACGACCCTCTGGATTCTCATCTGCGAGGACCCCCGTAAGCAGCAAATGGTGAGTTAGTGGTGAAATCATTCCCTGGGTGTTGGCAGGGAAATGTGGCACGAGAGCCAACGTGGTTTAATTATGGAAATTACATTTCCTTGAAGCAGAAAAGTTAAGTTGATAATCTCTTTGGACTGGGGACATTTGTGGGGAAGTCTCCTTTCAGATAGGAACATTGTCAGTCAAACACACCCATGAAGAATGCTTAATCTAAAGGGTGAGAGGGTGTTCCCAAAGTGTTTTGTCATTTGAGGCTCTGCCAAGACACCGCTGATGATGTGTATCTGTGTGTCTGTTATGAGGAGCTGTGAGGCAAGTAGGATTTAAGAATAATTCATGATTCAGATTTTAAAAAATAGATTATTTCCAACGGCTGAGAGGTGAACTCAGAAAGATGACGTATAGTCACAATGCTTGAGGAGCGAGTGCATTACCTACATGACGGAGTCTACGTGGGAAGTGTACTTTCTAACGGCATAGCTGTGTTTCTATTCACTAAAGTAGAATGGAAAGCTTAGAGGGCGCTAAATGATCTAATAGTCGAAGAGCTTTTCACATTTGCACAGCTTAATATGGCTCCGTGGACACTTTGGCATTGGGAAAAAAGTGGCATCACACCTCTTGCTGCAAAACTAGCCACCGTAAATCTGATCATGATATCAAACCACAAGCTGTCCCCTTTTATCTAACGGCAGGGATGAAGTGAAGCGAGATGGGGAGAGGTGCCAACTGCCCATTCACACGTTCTGAAGAAGTACGACCGCTTACCCCGCCCACTAGCTCAAAGTGACCGTCTCCCTTGGCGATGAGCTGTCCGTTGAAGGCCCAGGAGAAAGAAATGTCAAGGACGGGGTCACTGGTGACCTGACAGGGTAGCACGATGCTCTCGCCCACGATGATCTCCATATCCACCGGCCCCTGGGTGATTCCGGTTGGATCTGCCCCAGAGAAGAAGAAAAAAACATGGTGAGAGGGAGTGATTTCTGCCTGCCAATTCCTCACACAGAACGTGAGACAGTTCTCCGCACGATGAAACAAGATGAGCAGTGTGTTGTTGATTTTCTGAAATAGAGGCTCAATAGTGAGACACTTAGGAGAACATGCTCTATAATACACTAAGTCACAGGCAGGGTATTATCTATATAAAGGAAGGTCTCATGAAAGTCTTAGTTTAATAATGTGATAACAAGCAGCCTGCCACTGCTAAAATGGCCCTAATACTCCAGGCTGACACAGCTTGAATAATCTTCTGAAATCCTGATAGCAATTACAATACACGGCAGATCAGATAAACCTCATGTAATGGGCTGCTCTGTGCATCCACGAACCAAAATGAAGGGGGCGCCGCCACGGAGTCTACAATGGCAACCGTTGAACTAAGTCTGTCGTGCTTCAAAAGTCAAGATAATGAATCCGCTAGAATCAAATAAAGAAGGTGCCGCACAAAGGAAGAGGATTTGCACGTCTAACCTCACATGGAATGCAGAGGGATTTGAGAATCACATGTGAAAAGAGTTCTTAGGCGGGCGGTTATCAATGTCTGGGTCTCACCGCATGATGCTGACAACATTATGGCCGCGACAAAATATCACAGCCTTTAAAAAAAATAATAATAACGGGCCTCGTCAGTTACAGTGGCGGACAATAGCGTCCTGCACATTAATAAAACCAATAAGAAAACACTCTGCTATCACCCTCCTGGAAACGCGCGCTTGACAATAACAGCATCTCCGTAACAACTGCTCACTGGCGCTTTCATTGCCTCCACTCAGGGCACTTTCATTTGTTGCACTAAATTGGTTGTTTCAAATGCTTTGAGGAAAACAATGATAGAGTGTTTTCTCCAACACCGTCCGAGTGCATTACGGACGCCGCAGCAGAATGCGGCCACACAAAACAACTCACTCAACAAGATTTTTACTGAAAGACAATGAACAAATGAATGAATGAAACAAAATTGTTACAGGAAAAGAAAAAAGATCATCTAAGACTCCCACTGAATTATGCAGTCTCTCAAGGACAGATAATTCCGCACTTTTGACATGCTCCTCCGAGCAAAACCTGAAGTTTGTTTATGTTTCGAGCCACCAGTTATTGACTGGAGTTCTCATGGTACAGTGGCTCCCTGCTGCATTAATCCATACCGAGCATCACGTTCTCCTCATTCAGTGGGAAGCACAAGCATTTATTCTGCTGTTGCACAGCCGAGCTTACCGGTAACGAGGAGCCTTCCAGTTGTACTCGACATGCCAAATCTGTTCCTAGCGAAGCACGTATAGCTGCCTGCATCCGACTTGCTCACATTGGCAAGTCTCAATGTTCCATCTGGGGAAAGTGTGATCCTGTAGGAGCGCACAAACAGAGAGAGCAGCTTGCAACACTACTTCCAACAACAATTTTATTTTGTATTATTAAAATACTCACTCTTGAGCAGTTTGTGTAAGTGAATACAAATCAATTAGACCAATACCAAAAGGGCGCAGGTGGGAAAAAAACACTGAACGGGACACATTGGTGTACTTTAAAACAGCGTCACTGAAGTGTGCTCACAAACACATGCAGCAACTTCGGTCCTCACCGTTCACTTGTTTGGATGGGCAGGTTTCCTTTCTTCCATAGAATGCTGGCGGTCGGGTAGGCCTGGGGTTTACACTCCAAAGTCACGGTAGTTCCTGCCTTGGCTTTGAGCAAAGCTCTGAGGACGTTCCCTGTGAAGTCTGGAGGAGAGGCTGTGTGGAAACAGTAAACTGTCTTTACAGGGCTGCAGCAATAATCACAAGGCCTTTGATGGAGGCTTCAGTTGGATCTGCGGATATCATCAAATCGTGGAGTAATGGAGAGAGGTTTTTTAAACATGGGTGATGGGAGAAACAAGTAAATACAGAAATCGAATCACCACGGGGGGGGGTTGTTCAATGTAGTAAAGGGATTAATGTGGACAGTTTATTCGTACAAAAAAATATTGTATCTTTTAATTTGTATTACTAGTGGGTTTTACAGTTTAACTGGGAATTCTGTATCAACCCCCCCCATCCTCCCCATCCCCACCATAACTGAAAGGTAAATCAGGATATCCATCCATCCATCCATTGTCAAACCGCTTATCCTGCACACAGGGTCGCGGGGGGGCTGGAGTCCATCCCAGCCAACTTCGGGCGATAGACAGGGTACACCCTGGATTGGTCGCCAGCCAATCGCAGGGCTACACAGAGACACACAACCATTCACACTCACATTCACACGACTTCGGGCAATTTAGAGTCACCAATCAACCTGATCCCTAGAGCATGTCTTTGGACTGTGGGAGGAAGCCGGAGAACCCGGAGAGAACCCACGCAGACACGGGGAGAACATGCAGACTCCACACAGAAAGGCCACTGGGTGGAATCGAACCCAGGACCTTCTTGCTGTGAGGCAACGGTGCTAACCACCACGCCACCGTGCCGCCCAAATCAGGATATCATGAAGGGAAAAATAATGTATAAATGTGTTTGGCCTTACAAAACCATCTTTGCTGACCCCATTATCCGCAAATCCAGATAACCTTTCAGAATGACAGTAAAATGACCTTTAAGATTCTTTGACAACAATGATTGGGGAATTTGAGGGAGATATAAATGCCATCCTACCTAAAACCATTAGTTCAGCAGCAAAGTATATGACGCCGTGTTTATTCTCAGCCACGCACTGGTACATGCCGGCGTCGGAGAGGGTCAGCGCCGACACTGACAGGACTCCGTCCTCTACACGGATTCTGTCCTGTGAAGAAAAGGATGAAAGAAAGCAATTATTGCGCAAGACTCACGGGTAGCTTTCCCCTCTGGAAATTCAATAAGCGGTGAATTGGGTTAGAGGCAATGTCAATGGGCGCAGATCAAATAAGGGTTTTGTCGCAGCGAATGAAGCGTCTTTGTTTTTGTTTGGTTAGCGTGTTCCCTCCATCCTGTAAACCAGTACCTACAGTTTGTAATGATATTCTTTAGTGACAACCGAGCATGTAAGATTTGTGTTTGTGTGGCTAAATGAAGGGACCTGCTACAAAAGCAATTTATTTTCCCATATGCATGCATCATTAGACATTATTGATGGAATAGATGTTGTTTTAGGTGCTGCGTGTAAGGTTCTTGGTAAACAAATCACAGTCCAATCCTGTTTCATTTCTGTTTTGCGTGTGAGGATTAATCTCTCCCTTTGAATGAAAGAATATGCGTTGACACAACACTATGCTTATCATAGGACACATGCTGTAAATGTGAATCTGAAACCATGAAAACTAAACCGCTTTTGGACCTGCAAAAGTAAGCGGATCATAGTCTAAATCCTAAAAACTGTATTCTTAAAATCAAATGAAACATTTAAGAAAAAAATGAAACCAATCAAGTCCTGCCAAACGTTATGTATTCCCCTGGTGGTCGGGGGTAACTTCACAGCAGACTGAAACCCATCGTCCATAAATCTGGAAGAGCTAAAACATGCACCATGAATAATGAAAAATAACCACCGACTCCATTTAGTCGAAATGGAGCAATCTCCCAGGGACTACACTGATCCACTGCCTAAGACTGTGTAATCTGCCAAGGTAGAGCACAATAATAGACCGTCACAGCCACGTCTCATCACCGGCACACCTCACACCCCCCCGCTCCTCTCAAGCTGCACTGCATTTGGAAAAAAACGGCCTCGTGTTTGACGCCAGGCTCTTTAAAGCGAAAAGGACGAGCCGAGGCTGACGATTGAGTCATTAACACGAAACACTGATAGGTGGTGGAAGACGAGCAGTAATTCACCTCCGAGAGCAGCTGCTGGCCGTTCTTCAGCCATGTGTAGGAGGGTTTGGGCTTGCCGTTGGCTCGGCATTCCCAGTACAGTCTCTCCTCTATGGCCAGGGCTGTGTCCTTCATGGCCTGCATCCACTGAGGCTTGGCTGAGGGAACACAAGACATACTCCAGTGAAATATCCGACGACAACCAGGGGAAAGAATTTGAATGAGCAGAATTAGCTCGCCGAAATATTCCTCCCATCCCAAACTGTTCAAAAGGACAGCGTGCGTGGATTGACAGCTCAAATAGGTGGAAATCACAAAGCTCGGGAAGAGCGCGGTTTGTCTTTAAGAGGAGAGAGGAGTGATTGTGGGGTATCACTCAGTTTCATCACTTGAAGGTGCCGGCAGCCTGTGGCAGCTGCGGATCAGCACGAAACACTGCGCCACAGAGCATAAAAGCGCCCACTCACCCCGACCTGTCACCTCGGCTCTGTGTGTAAAAGAGATCACCGCGGTCGGTTTCCCCGTCCCGGGCGTGTGCGCGCTCCCTTGCTTCTTACCTCTTACATATTTACAGCTTTTCAGGAATTTCCATGGGGAGAGTGTGTTGTGCTCATAATAAGCGCAGTTCACTTCACAGGCATTTTACGTACTGTCAATTCCAATTTTCACAGGTGTCATTTTCCCTGAAAGCTGAAAGTAAGCCAAGAAATAAAACCACTGCCGTAAAAATTAAAAGCAACACCGCGTATTATCCGCGACAAATTGCTGTTATCATGTTAACGAATAACAGCTTCAACCTCTTCAACCAATTCCTAAATGTCACAAACGCACAAGTGGATGGAACATAATTTGTCTTAGCGAGCCAAACCCCAAAAGTCCCAGTACCGTAGAATGCCAGTCGACCAGTGGCTATGTTCTTGCCCATCTTGTTCTCAGCCACACACTCGTATCCTCCGGTGTCCTCCTGCTGGAAGCTGGGGATCTCTAGCACCGCGTTCGAGTACTTCATTTTGACTTTGCTGGGGAAGGGAACGCCGTTAGCCCTCTTCCAGGTGATTTCTGGGACGGGGCTGGAGGAGACACGAGGAGAGAAACCTCAGCAGAGGCTCTGATTCAAGTTCCTTTCAAGCTCAGATTGTAGGTGTCTGTGATAATTCGGCTGTAACAAAATTGAATGAGCTCAACAGCATTCCTCTCCCCGTATTTTCGCCTGGTGATAAATGGTTTGGAATTAACCCGACAGAAGAAAACACGATTTTCTGACCAATCATGTCTTGTCCAGTTTCTCAGAAATATAATTGCCATGGAAACCTTACTCCACCCAAACCCAGAGGTTTGCAGAAGATTGAAAACATGCTTTAAGGAATTCATCTTACTTCCCGAGGGCGAAACACTCCAGCGTAACTGTTGATCCTTTTGCAGCGGGCACATTGTCTGGGAAATTAACTTCTATTTTCGGCTCGTATTCACCCATCACACCTATGAAGAGCAAGCACAAGAACTTGCTCAGTTTTCCATTATTCATGACTTACAAACAATATGGCTTGCATTACGGCCAAACAACAGCAGTGTAAAAAACAACAGGGGGGAAATAAAAGGCACACGAGCAAACATGCTCTCATGGGTGTGCTCAAAGTAGTACATCACTTAAATGTGCACTCACGAGAGTGCGGTGAAATACCAACACGGAATAATTTAAATCCCTTCTCGGTGGAATAGATAGAGTGGAATTTGAAAATTCCGTTTTTTACTTGGCTGTTTATCTTTTAATTCAAACCTTGAGTGGGCCGGTGTTTTATAGTTTGCATCAGTGTTGAAGACGGCCAGGGCCGGCATCCGGAAACCGAGCAATGAGATTTAAATCTATTCAGGAACATGTACAGTACACTGAGTGAAAACTAACCGCTTGAGCCACCAGAACACTCAATGTAATGGTCCAGTGACGTACGGCTCATGTTTAATTCACTCAAAGGCAATCTTTATTCACTCCTTCTATGAAGGCGTAACAGAGAACAGAACAACAGAGCGCAGACGGGCCGGCTTGAGAATTCAAGTGAAAGCAAAGGGGAAAAGCTTTTAAAGGAAATGCGAATCATAGGAAAGCTAAGTCAGCAAAGAAGAGATTTGGGTGCTTTGTTTGCTGGCCTACATGCAGAAGCAACTATTTACTTTCACGCGTGACTCAACGGCAGCGAGGGCGCTCGCGCAAAGTGCGTCGATGAAGGAAAGGTCCTCCGTACACGGTCGGAAAAGGCACAGGTGTCGCATCGGAGCTGTGTCTCACCGTCTGTCCTGAGGATCAGAGACGTGGGCGAACTCTGAACTTTGCCCTTTGTCACGCTGTTCATCACGACGCAGGTGTAGTTGCCCACGTCGGAGGCCTCCACCTTGGCGATGTACAGGTTTCCCGTCTGCTGGGAGACGAAACGCCGATTGTCTTGTTGAACAAAGTAGGGGTACTCGTTGAAGACCCATGCATACGTAAGGTCTGGGAGACAAAACGGGGACACAAGGGAATAGAATACGACGCAACGTTCAGATATGATTATAAAGATTACAATTTAATCTGCACCAGAATTGCAAAGAACAGCTCGGATGGAGATTAAGATGGATGTTTACCTCCCGAGGAAGTGGGCGTTCCACAAAGAAGCACCACTCCTTGTCCCTCGCGGACTGACACTGCGCTTCTGGTGTGGACTTTGAAGTGATCCAAGTCTTAGGGGAAACAAAAATGAAAAAAAGAAGATCACCGCAGGATCTCACATGTCAAGAGTGGAAGCAGAGCTGAGCAAAAGCTTTCAGCAAGACACTGGCACGAGCCCACGAGGAGATTGTCATGAGAATTGCACTTTGGCAAATGCCTGGGAGAGAGGGAGAGACGCACAGGGAGAACGATGGAAATCTGCTTGTTTTATGTGGCCGGAAAAATAGTGCAGTGCGGAAATGTTAGCTGAGGACCTGAATGAGACATTGTGCACTTTTATTTTTAACATGAGAAGTAGACTGATAAGAAAGGGTTATAGCTTCAGTTGTGTACAGGTCTATGAAGGAGTGAAAAAACACTTAAAAATGTCTAAAATGAATACTTAAATACCAACCTTGTTTGCTAACTAAAGCCGTAGTACGTTGAAGTAACAGTTTCTAAGTTGAATTATATACAGTAAAATAAAAAAACAGATAACAGCTTTGTTATCATAGATGTTGTTCGGGGCATGCAAACAGAGTATTTTCGCACATGCATTTTCCTTCTTACCCCCGGCGGTATTTAGCCATGCAGGTATATCACTCAGTGACTATTCCAAAGACTTTAATCAGATTCAAAGCTTTCAGCCCGACCATGTTCACTTGAAGGTGAAAATAGATAAAACCCATCTGCGAGGGGTGTGGATAATATAGTGTAACCAAGAAATTATTTTCTGCAAACACTCGTTGGGGGTGAGTTTTTAAAAAGTTATTATGTCTCAGCGTTGCCAATCTTAAAAACGTATCAAATACAACCAGAAATATCTGCGTGCCTGGATCCTGCCAGGGGAAGGTGTGAAATGTTATTTAGTTGAAACGTACATGAATAGAAGGTGCCTTCGTGGAAAGAACATTGATATTAAGGATTAATTTCTTAATTCATTTGAGAGCTTTGCTGGTTTCACCACTAGAGAGATACGATGTGAGAGAAATCACAGTTTGTATGCGTTAGTACGCGTCTTATTTTTGTGCCGACACAGTTGTTTTATAATACATTCATTTAAATTCCTTAATTTGCATTACTCTTCTTTGTTATGTTGGTAGAAAGAAGCATATTATAAATCAGTAAGAGATTCATGCACTACATGTAAGAATCCCGTTGACTATTTCAGAGTAGACTTCTGACTGGTGCTCTATATCCAATACAACACCACAGGCAGAGCTCGGCAAGGGAAAGTGAAGTATTCACTCTTAGTTTTTGCATGTACAGTCATAAGTAAAGAACAGTCGTCCGACTCAAGCTGCCCAAATGGTACCTTAGCATTCAAAGTGGCAGCACCCATAAATATTGCAGATACCTGCCACCTCGCGCGGCGTGTGTCGGCATTATTTGCTAAGTGCAGTTACACCTTCATCCCGTTTCTTGATAAAAAGCGACAAACACTGACTTCCACTTACAAGCAAACTGCAGACTTGCCCTCCTGCTGAGGACAGCTCCTGCCGCGTTGAACGCCATACACTGGTACATTCCTACGTCCTGGTAGCGGTCCAGGCTGCTTATAATGAGGTTGCCCCCAGACAGACGCCGCCGGCGATCCAGGCCCAGATTTATGAGAGTCCCATTCAATGACCATCTGTGAGGGCAAAGACACCATCAGTCGCTGGCAAAACACAATGTCCAATTCTTCTACCAACCAAGGTGGTCTGACAGGGGGCGTGAGTGGAGAACACAACTTACTCGAGTAACTCTCCGGAGGCAAGAATAATATACCGCACTTTTGTGGAGAGAGTTTGTGGGCTCGCAGGTTGAAGCAAGAAGAGAATGATGTTTAGGGTTCAACTTTCCAAATAAACCCCCCCCCCCAGAAAAGTATTTCCTACGATTATAAAGTCAAACTCATAGTGAGCTGGATAAGACGGTTAGTAAACGTGAGTGGATCCGTGGAAAGTAAATACGCGCAATGCGTGGGAATGGTGGCCTGTAGGTTTCAGTTGTAAATTGTTGTTTACTCATTTTTATAAACGGTTCCTAATGATTTCACGCTTCAACCTTTCAACATCCTGCACATGTTCCATGATCGCTGCATAATGATTTCAGTTATGTACTTATGTACGGTAATGTACTCTAGTGCTATTGGTTACATGTACACTCTTAGACTGCACATTTCTTAGTCGTATTGTATTTTTCTGGTTCTTTTTTTTGCTCTACCACTATTTGCTGCTCCAGCAAGCCCGTTTTCCCCGCAGGGATCATTAAAGTTTAATCTTAGAGTATCACACACAAAGCTGTCTTCGGCTATTTAAGGGAAGCAAGAGATAAAGGTTTTAGAAGCCATTCTAGATATTATCATCAGTCTTAACCATAATCACCTCTTCTCTGTCACATTATATTTACATAATGAGACATTATTCCAACTTTGACTTCTCATTATGACAAAACATTAACACTTGGCAAGAGGTATCACCGTGCACATGTAACAAATCATTCCTTTTATGCTCTCTTTCACCTTCCATCACATCCATCCTTTAAAATAAAAGACAAGCAGGTTAAGATTACGATATCAAATGAATGAAGCACTTAAAAGAACTCTTAAAAACAGATGAATTCATTGAGTTAAGCAAGCGCCATTATTCAGCAAGAAAAACATTTCTTCAACCACAACACTCATCTCTTTGTAAAGGCTCTTCAAAAGAGGGAGAGCGGATGAGTTCAAGGACACAGCACTTTTCAAGAATGTTCTATCATGCCTCTCAAAGCATATACAATAACAAGTCATTCCTTCAGCCACCTTCTGCTATTCTACTTGACTTAAGTGGAAATGAAAGACTCGCAGGCCACAATGACCAACTTTCAAAAAGCTTTCAAGTCCAACCATGGAAAGTTGATGAGTGCTTACTGCCATATTCAGACACTTGCAGTTGTTAGCAGTTTTGCTGTATTTATTGGGGTTAACCCCATTTGTTATGGCTATACAGTTGGAGAGACCCGTCTGTACGATAAATCATGAATGGGGTTGGCTCCGCTAATGATGCATCCATACGTGTGTTTAGATGCCTGCGTCCACTTAACGGCATTCAGCTCTTTATCCAAGAGTCGCCACGTTTATCTTTCCCTTGTCTCCCGCATTGGACGGGTGATTGAATAGAGACCTGTTTGGTGAACACGCGTCGTCTGAACCACTGAGCGCATAGAAACTCAGGCGTTCTGGATCATCCTGTTGCTCAGGGCCCTCAGGCTTCTAATCTCCAGTCAAGCAAAGGTGAGCATGACACCCTCTGTTTGGATTTAAAACAATAAATAAAATGCATCTTTTTTTTTTTTTTATTACCCGCTGAGGAGAAGATGCTTGTCCATAACATGTGGTTGTCTCCCGTGAGTTATTATCCCGCCACGCTGTGCATACAATGACAGTTTCATCTCTTTGTGAGTGACAGGATTGGCAGAGAGAAGGGAGAAAAGAGAGGAAGGGGGAGGCAGACGTGTGAGCCTATTTACACTTCAAGAGAAGAGCCAGAGAGGTGTTGAGGACACGCAGAGCCCAGCGCAGCCGGCTTGTCAAGACGACACGTTAAACAAACTCATCTCACCTTTAATCGCTGCGTGGAAATACATGGTCTTAGGGAGGGAACGGGAAAATCCTGAAATAATGAGCGCACGTACTACACGCCGCGGCCGCCCGGCTCGTCTGTGCCGCAGTAAACTCCACTGTTGAACGCAAGAGAGACACTTGTGTTCAGCGCCAGCGAGGGCAAACTGCCGTCTAGCACACCTGCAATAATCTCACAGCGTCTTATGGGAAGAGATTTAAAGATGCATTAAGATGCTGCGAGTTAGTAGAGCCATATTGGCGCCGCTGCTAGTGTCTATGTGCTTCCCAGTCTTATTGGGAGAAGAGGAAAAGGAGAGCAAGCGCCTGCCTATTCCACGTGAACATAAATCTTTATATATGAATTCGTATTCACAGCCGTTTCCAAGAGCCTTTCATCATTCCACTCAAAGCATAAAAAAATCTCTTCTTCAACCACACTATTCACATTTCTTCTGGAGGGATTATGAATAAAATCATATATCACAATGTTTTTTACCAAATACCTTAGTATCAATATTGTAAGACTGACCATTGGTTGAAGGGAATTATGCAAATAACTGAACAGTTAGATCAGCATGCTTTAAAAACAGGAGAGGATCAACCCTCATGCCATATTACGATCACACGACCTATTAGTCATAGGTGTTGTGAGTAGGTTGTAATGTCCCCTCACACCCCAAGTTATGTTTCCTGCACTCAGTTTGCATTAAACACGGTCTTCTTAAGACACTTTATGTTAATGCCAACTGCGTTTCAGTAATCCAGTTTTATGACGGACACTACAATTATTGACTTCCACTTGGTTTATTACTAATAAATAATAAATAAAATGGAAGTCTTACTGCTTTAACGAACTTCTTTGAAAGCGGTCTTACCTGTACTGAGGAGGTGGCGTTCCCTTTGCGTCACAGGTCAGAGTGGCTTCTTCTTCTATGGAGTCGATAGGAATGAACAAGTCCCCCGGCTCCATCCTCCATCTTGGACCATGGTAGGATCCGCTGTCCAGACAATCTGTCAGAGAAACAGCAACCGCCAGAGTGTAACAATACAAAAAAAGGGTCTCTTTGATAAAGTTTGGCCGACATAACTCGCTGTTCTTCCGAAGCAAATAGGCTATTTGTGTCTAACAGTCTCTCACATTGGGAGATTAGGCATAACTGAAAATGGGAAGTGACTAAAGAGTGTACGTTTCATATTATGTGCGGGCAAAGAATCTATCCAGATAACCGATATTGACAGGATGTCATTCTTATAAATTAAAACAACAACTCTTTTTGAATACAATATTTTGAAGATCAACCACCCATCGGTAAAATGCAATGTAATGTAAATTCTTTCGATACGTTTTAATCCTATTCTTTGACCTGTGCTTTGTGTTAATTAAGGGAAGAAGACAGTTGAGTGTATTGTTTCTGTGTTTTGAATGGAAGTCAATACTAAGGAGTGGCCCTTTAAACCTGGGCCCTCCTATCATCGCTGACGTGATTTTCGCCTTTTCAGCTTTCATTCCGCAACTGTAAATGTCCAAACGGGAAAGAATCATTACTCATATAAAAAGGTGGTTTACCTGCCAGACAGTCGATGATTGATAACAGTAGAAGCTGTTTCCATGGCAACGTCATCTTTGGCCACCAAGGGCAAATGAGACTTTCATCCAATAAGCTTTGAAATGGCACTCGTATTCCCTGAGACAGGGGAGCTTGACCTGTTGGAACAACGACTCTCTTGTAAAAGACAAAACACCAATATTTTGGGTCCCACTCAACACTCTGTCTCGCAATCGTCCATCAGCAGAAGACAGGGGACGCGAGCATTTTCAGTAGTGTAAATATAGCTACGACAGATCGGATGCGGGGGTTCGGTGCAGGACGTGTCTAATTATTTCTGTCCATTCTCAAAACTCGGATCAGCGGAGATCCAGGAAGTGTCACGTTGTGCCGGGCTTTGGCCGTACTTGCAGTCAGAGATGTCTGAGGGTGATACCGGAGGCATGTGGGAAGAAGCCCTCGCCAATCTATTAGAGGGGGGGCGACCAACGCATAAGCTCATCCTTCACTTTGCACGGATTTGCTCTGGCTGCCTGAGGAGGCTTGGACCTGGGAATTGGGTGCCATCCAATCAATTAGATTTCACCCACCGCAGCATGTGGGGAGACACATGCTGCGGTGAATCAAGACAGCCTGATGAGGAAGCCACGGCGTCCGGGGCCATAATCAAGGGCAAGGGTCTGTCTGCTTCTAACATGTGCCGCAGATTGCGATGCACTAACTTCTTGCGTGCGACTGAGCGAGAAATGACGCAATTATGAAATGTCGTATACCTACGGACAGGGAAGTGGCTATAACACAGCAGTTACGCACGCATTCACGTGTGCAGGCCGGGTATATGCAGATCAATGTACTAGAGTGTTACACTGCATAAAAGCATGCGCAAAAACAAGCCGGGTCTGCATACACACACACACACACATACACACACACACACACACACACACACACACACACACACACTATTCTTCAAGAGGTGTTCAAGTTGTATTAAGGGCAGAGACAGATAATAACGCCAATCTGCTAAATGTCACACAGCCCCCATACACCTACACACCAAACTCACTTTCTCACCTTGTGAACGAAGCTTACAACACCCTTCCTCCACACACACACACACAGACACACACACACTGGCTTTCCATTTGGAAGACATAAGCCGTGATGTGCGGCTCATTTGTGGCCTAATCCTGGGGCCAGTCTAGTTCAGAGCGCTACTTATTGAGGGTCTAATTGTTTGTCAGCTGCTTGGATGTCAAATCGGACACGTGGGGTCTCAACCAGAATTTTCCTCCCTACCTTTCATGTGTGCTCGACCCTTTCTTCTTCCACCCAGAGTCTGCTAAATTGGATTGGTACGCTTCCTCTCAAGACGAGTCCTGCATGCCAAACCTCAGTGATAGGCTAAGAGTGTGCAAACTGCTGGCACCTCGGGACTGAGGATTGGCGCGTGGAAGAAGGTACAGTGGGTTTTACACTACCGTCGACTAGGCAGTTGTAACGGTGTTTCGGCCACCGTCTAACAGCTGATGCGATAAGTCCTTTTTTTCTTTTTTTACTTAGATTTAATAAATCATTCACAGTCGCAACATTAGAAAGAGTTAAGTCAGTGATACATGAGGAAGAGCGGGTCGCTCAGTGGTTTGCATGGACACACCGCATTCGATTTTATACACACGTGTACACGCAAAGTACACAAGCCATCATGGACACACACTCACAGTTTGCTCGAATGGATAATGGTGTTAACGATGATACTGATAGGAGGAGGTGAGAAAGCATTACATGGTGAATCAATCTCAATCACAGAGGGATCCTTTCCCTTCCAAGATACCACTGGGTTAAATAATGTATAATCACGATATCTACCCCCTCCATCTCACTCCGCCTGCATCCAAATAACACGCTGGTTGAACAAATAGCCCAGCTGGCAGAGTGGGAGTGTACTTAGTTCGAAGGCCTGAGCTGCATTCATCACAGATATTCCAACTGACATTGTGGCATACCAGTATGCAATTACCTGGTGAATGTTGCAGGGAAGGAATGGTGTGTGTGTGTGTGCACCTTCTACACTTACTGTATCTCAGTAGGCGTATACAGCCAAATCATTAATGTGACACTTCTCGAGGCTTGCTGGGTGTCTTTTTTTTCTCCTTCTTCTCTCTGATGCATTTGAAATAAGGTCCTCTGGTGCACTTGTACATTGAAGCTTTTTGAGCATAAAGCACCACATCGCACCAATGCGTTGTGTTTTTTTTTTGCCTGATATCCTGTATCACCGAGGGTGAGGTGAAGCGAAGCCAAGGCTGCACCAGCAGGGAGCAGTTCAGGGGATACACATGTGTGTAATGTAACACCATCTATTCACCAGTTTGACAAAGAAAGGCACGGATGAGCCAGAAAGGATCCGCTCCTTATTATAAAAAAATATATATATATCAACGCGCCCACGTCTGAAAGCGTGCCTCTCCAAAATCACACTACCCTCGTGTGGAGGAATTGGCTGCAGTTGGGAGGGCACGTCACGTTACTCCAAATAATTATTATCAAAGGGATTAATGGTCCAATTCGGGACAGCGGGAGCAAACAGGCCGACACGTGAGCCCGCCGCTGTCAAATCATATTGTAAGCAAATAATAGTCACTGTGGAAATAATTCAGCGTTCTGTATTTGGGCACGTTCGCAGTAGCCAAGCGCGCTCACACATCGGTGTTTGTTGGTATCTGCGCCGTCTTACCTCTTATCTTGAAATATCTTGAGACCAGCAGAAATCAAATCCAGCCCCGGCAGAAAAAGCGACAGAGTGATCCTCCATGGAAAACCTTTATTAGGAGAAGAAGAGAGAGAGAAAAAAAATCAGTCACAATCGCAAGGTCGTTCATACAGGTGAAGAATCGAGCCGGTGGTCAGTCATGAACACGCGCGTTTCATATTCTCCTCCACTCCCTAGCAACACAAAAAAAGCCAAACATGCAAACACACACGCACGCACGCACGCACACGACACCCACGTTGTTTGCCGCGTTGAATCACATTTGAAACATCCCCAGTTTGAGGCTCGAGCCTCGCCGGTGTTTTAACGCTCTCAAATCCAACGCGCGTTGGTCGGAAAGGAAGATCATGCAAAGGGTGGATTTATTATGCGCATCAAGTCAGCTCCTCCTGCTCCTGAGAAGGAGAAGTGGGCATGCACGGCGGAGCAGCCAGAAAGCAGCAGCGCGCCGGGGATGGGAAGGTGCGGGAGGAGGGGGGGGGGGGGGGACGCACCTGGCGGGGGGAAACTGCGCCCCCTTCCGTCAGACCGCAGCGCGGCAGCTGGAACTGTGAGTCCCGGTGATTCGCCGGTTGTTAATTGGGTCCGCGGGCTCGTTCGTATCTCACGTTCCATTGCTTGTCTGCGGGGTTTAGACAACAGGGGTCTGCAAAAAAAAAAAGAAAAAGATAATTTCTTTAGATTATGTTTGGCTCCTCCAGGCCAACGTCCGAGATGTAATTAGAATACAAAGGCAAGGTGCACAGACGGATACTGTGAGTATATATGGCCGAACCCAGTGGCCCTTTATTGGACTTCTAGTCCAAATCATCCAGTGTATAAAACTGAAACACAGTGATATTGTAGTGAAATATTAAAATCCCTATAAGCTATTCTTCAGACCAAACTGGCAGCAGTGGAGGTGATAACTGGGGCTATTTCAGGCGTCTGGGCCTCCTGGAGTAAAAGTCACATTAATTAAGCAGTTGGAGCGTTTCCATGGATTAGATGAGTTGAAACATCGGCTTATTTTGGTTAAAAAGACAAGTTTACGTCTTATTGTGCCGTGGATTTCATCTGACAATAGACAGGAACCCGTTTCAGCTTTTCAGAAAGACAGATAGGAGAAGGTAAACAGATGGGACAGCTAGGACATGAACACTTGGTGGTTTTACAGTAAAAGAGACCTTTTTCTGCATGAGAGAGCTTATTGTTTCTAAAACTAACTCCTAAAAAACTTGGCTCTTGATTGCTTTTCTCACCACTCACTATTATTATTACTCACCAGGCTGTTCATACTAGGCCACATAATATCGGCATGTGTGAGCTCATGAGCTTGGAGGGTTGCCAGTTATAATATATCGGGTCAGTGGATAAAAAAATTGTGACTGAAGCGCACATGTACCAAGACGTGAGCTGCAAGTGTCTAAATACATACAGCTGCAGAGTGGGGTGTTAGAATGGCTCAAAATGCACGAGTGGGCCTTTTCTTTTGGTTGCTAGAGGGTGTACGGTTGTGGGCTTGTGAGTGACATTGCTCCGACTAGTTATATTATTGGAAGAGACTGACTGGGAACAACGTAACCTGTTTCTCACTGTGCCGCCCACTGGACAAAAAACCCACACTTGTTCTCACTGAAATGTAATGGAAATGGAGCATGTACCTGCGGTTAGAACACAGATTTAAAAAAGGATGGTGACATGTTGACATTTCTCCCTTTCTGTCCCTTTTTGCTGAAATGTCTAACTGGTCACAGCAGGAAAAACATCGCTGGCTGAATTTAACTTTGCTGCTTCAGTTGCAGGATGCTGGTATTTAACAGAGCCATTGTTTTTTTATATTGTGCAATAGGAGGGGAATGTTTCATCTGAGATTTTGCAATAGTGCATTGTTGATCCACAGTATTCCAAACATTCTACATTTTGTCTGAAATTCTTTCAATATATTGAATATTTTTCTTTATTTCAGTATCCACTAATTATCATTTTTTTCTTTATATTGTAATGCTGAAACTGCCACTTCTGTATTCTCTGTCTACCCCTCAAATAATACATGTCAGTTGATCACGGAAGAGGGTTTTGTCAACTATTGTTCTTCCTGAGGGGGTTTTCTTTTTTCCTTCCTGTTAAAGTTTCTTCCCTACTCTTATCTGATTGGATAAATAAGAAGTGTATATTGTGCAGATTACGCAGAAACAAACGTGTGATTCTGGGATTCTGGCAAAGAATATTGACTTTGCTGGGCTTGACAAAAAGCAGAAACTGCATTCGCCAACTGAAAGAAATTGGGTTGCTACCGAGTTGCAAAAGCTGACGTTTCACTGTGTTTGATAAGCATCCGCTGACAGCTTTACTTCATGGTGAAAGGATGTATTTCCCATGACACAACTGGAAAAGAAAAATGCTCTTTCTACCAACTCGCTTCCCCACTTTATCAATCAGACAACTGTTACACTTAGTCTCACTCTTTATGTCTATTTTTCTCTTACTCACAAAGGCTGAATCCCTCTTCTTTACTACTACAGCCAAGTTTTCATTGTGAACATCTAAGTCAGTTCAATATGTGTACTGAGCCTCGGTGAAGAACTGCATTGTGGTAGGTCCTGCAGTCCCTTCGTCTACAAGGAGCCCCATTAAACCTACATTCATCACCCTTATTTCAGACCGAGGTTCCTTCACATGGCCAGGGCATCGTTAATAATGCTCCATACAGCAGCCATTTGACATTTCCTTTAATTATGCCTGTAATTTATTCATGCACTTGATCCTAGGAGCTTGTTGTGAAAAGCTTCCTCCAGGAATATTTTATCCTGCACCTCCTGAGGCCCGCGGATTAACCATCTTAATAGCATCCCCCCGAAGGTATTACTTCCTTCATTGTGTGCGTATGTGTATGATTGCAATAAGCATTGTGCCTCCAATGCCCGTGTTAAGCTGCAAAAGTCATTAGGTCTTATTTTAAACCATTCAGAGGTCTCAATATAAATTCCCCTGTACTACTAGCTTGCCTAATTTGGGGAAAGCACAAAGAAAAGTGCAAATGGTTGCAAGATCTGTGCTTATCGCACAATGCAGCGACCCCCATGTTTAACCCAGTTTTTCAGAGGAAAACATCACGGCATAATTTGCTCACTCTGCAGGTCGGTTAACAGACAGCGAAACCCAGCAATTTTCAACCAAGTAGCGGAGGAAATCTCAAATGTGCACACTTCAAATGGGATTTAAGATGTTAATTATGATGTTTCTTCATCACAGAACATTGCTCAACTCTTGACTGCACACCTGACAGAAATTCCTGCAGGCTTTGTGGGCAAAACTGTGTGGATTTGAAGAAAGTGGAGGCTCTTATATAAATAGGACACACACACACACACACACACTTTGGCACACACATAAATGGAAGGCAATTTGTGAATTTGTCAGGACTGGAGGAAACACGATAGCCTACTTTATTATTTCATGAAAAATGTAACAGCCATTGCTTCACATACATAAAGTTATATCTCTCTCACTTTTGCTGTGATATATATATATTTTTTTAGATGACAATTTCTCTTCCTTCTTTCCATTGATTCTAGTTGACTTAAATGTATCGCACAGACACTCACAAGGATGTCCGCTCCTCCTTATCTTCCCAGTATGTTTCCCTTGTTGATTTCATTATTTTAAAGTTTCTGGTATTGTTCATTAGCCAGGCGGTTTACAGCAGGCTTGCATAGAAGACTAATGAGCAGGAATACCTTTTATTGCATAATGCAATTCCAGGGCTGTGGAGGTCCATTACTGGGGGATCAAGAATTAACTCTTTACTGTTGCTGACAGGGGGGGATCCGCTTTGAGATAAATCCTCCTTGTAGGTCAATCAAGTAACATTTGCTTGGGTGCAGAAGAGACCTGCAATAAGAAACCATCTTGAGAGGTGTGACCCAGCGGAACTCCAGTGAATTCAGCACCATCCATCCATCCATCTATCAATTAATACATCCATCAATCCATCAATCAATCCAGCTATTCGTCTATCCATCTATCTATCTGCCTGTCTGTCTGTCCAGCCATCCATCTTCATAGGTCATATTTAAGAAATCAGGTTGATGTACCGATGAATTGAATTAACACTCTACACACTAACGGTCACAGTGAGTATTCCACGCAGTCTTCAATTAGTTTAGCTCGTTGTCTTTTTACATTTAGTAAACTATAAGTGCAGTTTACTCTACTGAATCAAGGGCGTAACCACCCACCCTTCGCGGGGGTAGTGTCCCCCCCCCAATATTGAGAAAATACCAATCTGCCCCCCCCCCAATATACAACAGAAAATAGGTAAAATATATGTTTCCTTCCTTTTATGAACCGGCTGTTAAGCGAAACGCCCCGGGACTCTCTGAGTGCCCGCTCGTAGTGGCCCCCTCCCCGTCGACCGTAGCGCCCAGCGGACCCCCCCAATGTCTAAACCATGGTTACACCCTTGGAATTACATGTCTGCAAAAGGCAATAACTAACCCAAACATTGTATCCATGTCTCATGTTTTCTCACAATGGCAGTGAGATCTGGTAATATTTCTCACATACACATCATGTCTTGTTGACTCTGACTACTTATTGTACAAGAATGTCAGTTTTGTCGAGCTGAAAGCTTTTGCGTTTCCCGCAGAGCTGTTTAGATTCAAATTTCAACAGTCGGTCAATGTTAGCCGGGACAAGTCATAGACACTGAACACTATTTGAAACATCCATGTCCCAAAAAGCCAGATGGATGAACAAACAAGGAATTGGAAACCTCGTAGCTTTGAACTGGATTTACATTGCGAGTCACTGTGCACTGGAATCCTATTTTACACTACATTTACGCCACAAAGAGGACGGCCATGGCTCGAGGATGGACAGGACGGTATTCATTCAGCCAAAGGTTCCTGCTCCAACAGATGGTGGTGTGAGTAAAAGACTGATGAAACACCTACTCTATCCATTATCAGCTTTAGCTCTCCCGAACAAACTAATCCAGGGTAATGCCTGGGGGAGTGAACAGCAGCCATCTCCTTTGCAACAGGAAGCAATGTGGTTTATTGGAAATGCGGTGATAGCCTAAACTGGATCATAATGTCCCTGCACTTACAACACCTCTGCTGCACAACAGAGGCTACAATCATGTCCAGTACATTTTTATTACGTGATATCAAGTAATTGACTGCATTTACTTTTGATTGCTTTAAATGAATACATGTTCATGCAACAAAATACAGTCAAATTTGGTAAAACCCCCGATGGTCAGCTGTGATAAATGATGTTAAAACCTGTTTATTCAACTCCATGGCCGCACCGTGGCTGTGGTTTGTGTGTGTTATAAAGCCAATGTCCCGTTAAGTGTCTTTTAGTCGGCGTAAGTGAGGGTCTACTTGTGACCGCTGCTTCTCTTTGCCCGAGCAGCTTTCCTGTGTGTGGAATATA